GTACGCTTCTCAAGTCAGTCCTGACAGCCTAGGAGTAATGCATTGTCTGATTTATTTATTTTTAAATATATATTTAACTTTTTTAATAACTTTGGACCGGTGAGGAGGTGCTGACCTTTACCGACGTTGGTATCTGCCAGTTTCCACAGAAGTGGAGCTTGGCACAGCCCAGCGCAGAACAGCTGCAGCAAAAGCTTCCTTCAGTTCGAACAAGTCTAACTTTAGGTCAAACCGCTGATCTAAGTTAGAGGTTATTCCCTGCACTCTGCACGAATCATTTTCTCTGCGTCGGGTTTTCTTCCTTATTTTATTTAAATGAGAATGTTGCTTGAAAATAGCACATGTGCAGTGCCTTAAATGTAGAAAACCATTTGCGCTGGGGAGCTTTGACAGCTCCATATCAGAAACCCACTTAAAACGTTGCTAAGGATGAGCACAGAAGACCTGTGCTGACCTGGGAGCCCTCTGTGCCAAGGCTGGAGAGCAGCGGTCACATCAGAACCGTGCCGAGCCCTGAAGGCTGCAGGCATTTTGCAGGAATTGCAATGTAACTGGACCCCACCAGTGAAAGTCCAAGAGCTATGGCACCGTGCTTAAAGCAGTCGTGTGTCATTCCCCGACGCGCGAGGTGCTCCGGCGTCGGCGCGGTGGGTTTGCCCTGCCCTGCCTTTTATGCCACACGACACAAAACGAGATGCTTGTTTGGAAGTGCTTCTTTGCCAGGAGCCTCATGCACAAATTTGGTCAGATACGAGCCCTTAAAGTAGAGGAGGAATTTTCCATAAAGATGTATAACTTCTGAATCCGTTCAGCTCGCAAATGTTAGCACGAGTGAAGCGACCAAAGTCCCGCTGTGCTGACCTGCGTTTTCATTAGGGCTGTTAGGAGTTAAACTAGCTGTTATTGAACATGTCAATTTTAGCAGTTACTTAACACCGTATTTGCATTTTAAGTTCTTATATGCTGACTTATAAACGGGCTGGTAGTATTTTGGCTAATGGCATTGTATCAAATTATTAACCTAGAACTTTATCCGAAGTGGCTTGACTGAGCCAAGGAAACTTTTTGAAGTTCTCGGGGTTGGTGAAAGAGGGGAGCTTAAAGTTCAGGGTCTGTAACTGTTTTGTTAAGTGAACACTTGCTTTGTTGTGTATTGCAGTAGTGTCCAGGTTGTGATCGGATCGTAGGGAGCTGATCACGCTGAGTTTGCAGCAATGTTTTATTGCTCACTATATTTCAGCCACAAGATCAAATAGAAGTCGGGGAAGACGGCTTTAAACAATGGGATGGTAAGAGCAGTGTTCGCTATAGGATGCAGTAATGTATCTTTTTCCTAAGTATTTCTTTTTAATTATTAAAGATTTAACAGTAAATTTATGTAATTTCAATTTTACAAGATCATTCTATATTATACTTTCAAGCCTGTGTGGTTCGTGGTATTTGATTACACACCTTTTTCCCACCCACCCCCTTTCTTCTAACTAGTGTTGGACTCCTTGGATATGGAGGCAATGGTGAGCACTGTGCGTGCGTGGATTGAGAACCCAGTGAAGTTTGCCCGTTCCCATGGGGTGAATGTCACGCCTGGCTCTAAAGAGCCAGCCTCCAAAGATATCCATGTATTGGTCATTGAAGGCTTCCTGCTTTATAATTACAAGTAAGGTTTGGGGAACTTTAACGGTTTGCCAGGGAAGGATGCTAGATCACTAGTGCCAGGGCTAAAACCTCCTTTTTACTAACACCCCCTTCCTGCTTTTTCTGAGGTATCATACATAAGAACTTTTCTCATGGAAAATTTCACAGTAAACACCAGTAAGAGCGAGGTGCACAAGGTGGCTTTCTCAAGGAAATGTAGGAATTTCTCACGTAGGGCACACCCCTGAACTCCCAGAGCTTTAGAGCAGAACTTGTAAATGCTGAGCCAGCAGTGAAGGTGCAGGCTTCCCTCCTGCTCTCCCACCACGGTGCCTAAACCTGGACCTGAAAAGGTCGTTGATGAGAAGAAGTAGCAGTCATGACTTGGAATCTCTCCTGGAATTTAAGAATAGATCTCTCATGTGATACACGTGCTTGTTTAACACTGACTAAATTGAGCTCAGTAATTAATTGCACATTGGAGCAAAGATCAACTTCTCTTGCATTTTTTTTTATGATATGGGGGGGCAAAAGTGCTTGGCAGGAAGACAGGGAAACTAGACTAGCAGTGAAGAGAGAAAATTTCCAACAGCTAAATATATAAACTTCAGAAAATTGCACACTATAAACACCCTGAGCAAAAGATTCTTGGCTCCAAACTCCAGTTTTGTTTACAAAACTTTCAAGAGAACGAGCTGTGCATGACACACAGCAAAACCAGAGTAGTTTATAAGCTCTGCCACAAGACAAGCAGCACCACTCTGGCTTCCCAGACTGAATGGAAAAATTAAAATGGCAGTCTCGGACTAGCCATACCGGGAATGGCCAACTGGAGATCGTGCTGGCAAACTGCCGCGTGTTCTTGGCCTGTCCCCGGGGAGGTAGCTCTCAGTACCTCTCCTGAAGGTTACAAATACCTCTGAAGCCTCCGTCTTGTTAACGGGAGCCTTTCCCTGCTCCAGAGGGAGTATTCCATCCACAGACCCGGAGCTAGCTCGGTTCGTGCTATATTAAGCATTTATGCAAACCTCAGCAGGCTTTTAAAGTCCCAGTCCCACCAGCTTCCAACTAGATTTGCTTGAAAGATTTTTCTGGTTTGTTTTCTTCAGCGTAATAGGAGTGCAAGGCAGTCAGCTGCAGTAGAAACAACTGCCTGTGTCTCTGGGAAAGAAGCTGCTGAGTTGTCTCGTACCGAATCTGTGTGCCCATGCACGTTTTGACAGCTTGCTTCTGCACAACAGGCTGGACTGTTCAGTAATTCAGTTCATATCAGACCGATGAATTGCAACTTTGGTCTACTGCAAGCAGAATTCGAAATGATCTAGAGAAAGAGTCAGGGTTCACACCTCAAGTCTTCCCAGCCCAGTGTTCTCATCCTTCCCAGTAACTAGTAGCAGGTATCTGGGTGGGAACAGTACCCAGCGTACCGTTCTGACCTTCAGAAAACATCATTTTCCGTGTTTTATAGCTGCTAATAAACCTACTGTACATTACCTCGTGTCTTAACAAAAACACTTACGCTTCTGTTGCTACAATAGACACAAACACACGAGAGGCAGGAACATTTTTATGACTTTCAGGGTGATTTAACACTTTTTTCTCTGCCAGGAAAAAAAATAAATACACATTCTTTCTCTCTACCCTACCCTAGACCACTGATAGACCTATTTGACATACGCTACTACTTGGCAGTTCCATACGATGAATGCAAACGGAGGAGAAGGTAAGAAGATTCTTTGATCTAAGTCTAATCCTTCCTTCCAGTAAAGACTCTAGTAGAGGCGAGCCTTCAAGCTACCCTTATGTAGCTATTAATGGCATATGTTGGTGTCACTTACAAATTGGAATTACAGTCTAAAGTTTTAATTTAATTGGAGAAAGACTTCCACGTGGCATTTTCTGAAGCTTCAGCTCTAGCTGTCCCCTTTGTGGGGGTTTATGGAGATCAGCACATGGGTGCAAAGGAACAGACTTGTTGCACGCTTCCCCCGGGAGCACCAGCAAACCCTCAGGGGCTGTTGGCTTTGCCTTCATCAGCTGCTCCTGGCTTCTGTATTCCCTCTGGATGCTTAAAGTAAAACTTGCTGCAGAACACAGACTCAGTGAGAAATTGGACTGTGACATCAGCTTTTACACAAACGCAGCTGAGCAGCTGTCGGATTAACTTCAGGCTTCAGCGGCGTGCAAGAGGCAGCGTGATCCTGGTGGTCATAGAATCATAGAATGGTTTGGGTTGGAAGGGACCTCAAAGATCACCTAGTTCCAGCCCCCCTGCCATGGGCAGGGACACCTTCCACTGCACCAGGTTGCCCAAAGCCTCATCCAACCTGGCTTTGAACACTGCCAGGGATGGGGCATCTACAACTTCTCTGGGCAACTTGTTCCAGTGCCTCACCATCCTCTGAGTGAAAAATTTCTTCCTTAGATCTAATCTAAATCTCCCCTCTTTCAGTTTAAATCCATTGCCCTGGTCCTGATGTTCTTTTCCATTTTGATGTTCGCAGTACACGTAACTACACCGTCCCTGACCCCCCGGGGCTCTTTGATGGACACGTCTGGCCCATGTACTTAAAACACAGGAAAGAAATGGAGGACGGCGGTGTTGATGTCGGTAAGCCTCCCTAAACGCAAACCCTTTGGCATTGTACTTGGGATTTTAAGGAAGTCAGTAATTTAATTCAAGGAAACTTTAACTGTAATGATGCAAGGCACTATTTTTACCACTCACTTGTAACCCTGGCCTACTTTCTGCCCAGATAAACAGACGCAGTTTTATAGTGAAGAACTTCTTCCCTTTGTTTTGGATTACACACACGTAAGGGGGGGATGAAAAAAAAATATAAAAAATGTTTTTTCGCAGCCATCATTTTTTCAGGATGGTTCTGCTTTTCTGATTGAAAAACAAGTTGTCATTTGGGTCGATAGAGTATGAAGTATTTTAAAACTCACCTACAGAAACTTTGCTCTGACCAGAAACCTCCAGACAAACCTCTGCCTCTTTCTTTCAGTTTATTTAGATGGACTGAAGTCTAGAGATGAACTTTACAACGAAGTCTTGGAAGATATTCAGAACAAGCTTTTAAATTGCTTATAGGTAAATGCATCCCTGCTTCCGAGGGGGTGAAACCCAAGGGACTGGCTGCTGGAAACAACCTGCTCTTACGCTTGGATAGTCACACTTCTCCTTCTTGCTTTCCAGGGTCTCGGAAGACCTGACAGACCCATGTACAGAAGGATGTAAATAGTACTTAGAAGTCAGAAGGAGGGTTTATTTGTCTAAACTCTTCTTGTACTGTCCCTTGGAAAGTATCTTTTGTATATACTTGAAAAATGAAGATAACTTATTCACAACTCTATGATGGACAGGATTGATTTGGGGTTGTTTGTTTTTTTTTTAATTTTCTTATTTTATATTCCACTGGCTTAAACATAAGTTGAAAAAGCACTTTTATAATGGAACAAGTAGAGCTGTGTTGGGAAAACAACTGACTCTTCTGCTTATGTGCTTCTGCAGATATTAAGTCTTTCTATAACGGCTTGTTTGTAATGTCATCTCTTGAATTCAGTAAAAATCAATTTAAAATCTTTCTTTTGTGTGGGGATTTTTTTTTTGAGGTCCTGGTTTAATGTCAGTCTCATTTACTGTAGTAGAAATAGGTGCAAAACTCCCCCAAAACACAACAGCAGCCCCTACTTCTTCACACAGCGTTTGAAATTTCATACCACAGTCTCAAAGGTACCTGTGCTGCCTCCAACCTCCTGTTGGCTGTCGCTGCTTTGGCCTCGGTGACAACACTCGCCTGGAAACCCAGTTCAGATGCGAGATTCTCAGAGGTGAACAGCACTTCAGATACTTAAGTGCTGGTATGAAACCAGTTCTGGGTCAGCCTCGGCTTCTCGGCGTTTCTCACTTCACGCTCAGAACAAATTAGCACATAAAGATACTGGGGCCCGTTTCACACGGCACTCCAGTGTTCCCTAGGTGAGAAGTTTGGATGGAAGCCTCTTGCTGCCTTTGGCAATCCAAACAAGGATGTTATTTGGTCCTAAATTCTCCAGCTAGCCGAACCTCAAGAGGTGGAAAGGGCTAGATTTCTGAATTTTAAATCCAGAAGGCACATGGTGGGATTTCTCAGGGAATAAGAGCAGCAGCCTTGTAATAAAATTGTGCTACTTTAGGAAACTTTTCAGGAATTAGTACTGAAAATGCCGTCCTCATTTTAGTGTTTAAACAAACAGCCTTTACACACATCCTTGCAGCACGCAGGCAAGTCTATTTACCAACAGATTTTTCATTAACTCACTCTGAAAGTGTTCCGAGGGATCCACGCTGTGCAGAGCAGTCCTTTACGCCCCTGTGCAACCTGCCTTCAACACATGTCCTGCAGAGTTTATTCCCAATCCGGATACGTGCTTGTGGCAAAATCCTGCATGAAAGCACCCGACAGCATGTTACAACTCCGTAAAACGTAGGTATGGGAGGTTCTGCTTTTTTAAATGCTTCTGGTAAGTTTGTAGAAAGTCCACCGATATCTTACTCATCCGTGTCCTCCCTTTTTAGCAAAACTAGAAATAAAATATCAGTGGAAATAGTTTCACTGTTTTTTTCTGTTGATAGGCTTTTTCTCAGTGCTACAGTGAGATTTAAAAAAAGCTCCTGCTCCGAGAGAGAGAGCAGAAAAGAAGTAATTAAGCAAACACAGTCAGAATATAAAATAAATGGTAACATGGAGCGCAGCACGCTTGAAAAAGGGATGGGAATGCTGTTCCTGAAGCAAAAGTGAGTGGTGGACCTTTATTTTCCTGCTTATCACGTACTTTCTTTGAGAACAATATTCTGCCCAAGTTTCTCACTTCATGAATAGTGCAACGTCTATCCTTCACCAGGCTGGACCAGGTTGCCCAGAGAAGCTGTGGCTGCCCCATCCCTGGAAGTGTTCAAGGCCAGGTTGGATGAGGCTTTGAGCAACCTGGTGTAGTGGAAGGTGTCCCTGCCCATGGCAGGGGGGTTGGAACGAGATGGTCTTGAAGGTCCCTTCCAACCCAAACCATTCCATGATTCTGTAAGACCCAGTTGCAGCACTGTCCTTGGCTCCAGGCTCGCTCCGAGCTAATAATAAACTCTCCACGCTGCTCAGTGCCTGGTAACTAATTGAGCTTTAATTCCGTGGTGAGATAGGTGAGCGTGTGGAGATCTGTCAACCCGCTACCGAAATACACCGGCTAAAGATAGGAAGTGCCACGAAACTGATGTACCAAAGCACGTGCGCCACGTGGAAAAGGTTCACCACGTTAGAGTACAAACACCTCTCACGTGGGATGAGTGCGGGCATCTTTCGGGCACCGAAATAACTCGGCTGTGGCGTCAGCACAACTCCCTTCGGAAGATTTTTGGGCATGCCTTAATTAGAAAGGTTGCTCTGGAAAAGCAGCCGCCACAGATCAGCAAGAAGTCACCCCAAAACCACCCAGCCTGTTTCGAAGGGCTGTTGTAGAGGCGGGCGAAGCAGCCAGCAGCAAGCCAGACCCACCACCTTGTCCTCACGTCGCCCCGATATTTTCCGATTGTCTGGCCAGAACGAGGACGCCGCAGCCAGAAACGAGCCACGGATACTGATGGCATCACCCACACTTCCACAAGCTATAAAAAGGCATGTTCCCTTGTGTGCAACCCCGTGCGTGCCTGGAGAGCCCCACGAAACTATAATTACACTGTTCCACGTCCGAGCCGGGACAGCGCTGCGGCTCGTCACCGATGCCTTGTAAGTCCCTTTGACATCGTCACACGGAGCCTTTCCCGCAGATGAGCCACAGCTCTGTTCCCAGCAGGTAAAAAAAAAAAAATAAAATAAAAGCAGCCTCAGCTCCCCAGTGGGATCTGGCTTATAATTTCCATCAGGGTTTTCCCCCCGGTGTTACCAGGAAGGTTTAACCCTCACCTGGTCAGCTGTACGAAACCACTTCGCTCTCATGGAGACATAGAAGGGAAAAGACACCGCGCTGGCTCCAAGCCAGCCCCTAGGAACCCAAAATCGAAGGCTAAAAAAAGGCACTTTGATATTCCCTGCCCGCAGAGAATATAAAACTCCCCAGGATTAGCTCCGGTTACAAAGAGGGAAACTGAGGCAGAACCAAGGCTGAAGTCTCCTGGGGACCAGCACCCCGCTCCTGAGCACCACCCTCGTCCCTGTAGCGTCCAGTATCAGCTGAGCTCCTGCAGTTTTTATCTCCTGGACACTTTTTCCCCAGTAAATCCTCCTCGATGGTGAGCAGGAGATATTTTCCCCCTTCTTTGCGGCCCGCTGAACTCCTGCCAGCACCCTGCAAAGTAAAACCCTCCAAAGCAGGTCACCCTCAGCACGGTGGCACCAAAACCCACCCCAAATTCTGCTTTTTACAAAATGTTTCCGTGCCAGCTCATGCACCCATCAGGACGAGATCTCCTGCCGCCATGCCCTGCGGAGCAGCGCACCCGCCGGGCGGCTGGGGAGGAGGCAGCTGTGCCAGCCAGGGTGGAATCGCCAGCGACTTCCAAGAGCCTTGAAACAGAAACCCGTGGCACGACGGGCATCTGGGAAGCCTTAGCACTATGTGAACTTTGCCCAGCTCGGGAACAACTGTCGCTATAGGATTTCCATACATCCTTTCGCACGCTGGCTCCGGTGACAAATCAGCTCTGCGAGAGCGGATCGAATACCCGGGATTCCAGCTGAATCTGCACCCCAAAACCTCCCCCCCAAACCCCAGCCCTCAGGACACAGCACCCAAGGGGAGGACAATGGCCCCCAGCCCCCCCAGCCTCGCTCCTTCGCCAGAGCCCTCGCCCAGTACGCTGAGGCCACAGCACGGATCCTGCTCTGCCCTGGGACGCTGTCACCAGCCTTGGCCTGGAAAAACGGGGCAGACTAAAATTATCACCGGGCCCGCATGCCCGGCGGGTTGGGATGAAACCTACACCCCGTGGGACGTCAGCGGGCAGCACGTGGGGATGCCCGACGGCTGGCACGGATGGGGGCACAGGGCACGGCCCCTCTGCCTGAGCTGTGCCCGTCTCACCGTCACCCCAGACCCCCGGGAGCTGGTGGAGGGCACTGGAGTGACTAATAAAGCCTGAATTGAGCAAATTGTCTCAGCCCAGATCTTGGCCGGAGGAAAACCCACCGCTGCGCCCCTCACCGTGGGTGCTGGCGAGCCAGGGGGACGCCTGCCATCCGCTGGGATTTGGCCGGTGATTCCCCCAGGTCAAATTCAGCTGGATCTTGGCTTCACCTTGGGGCCGTGGGCAGACAGAACCCCCTCGGTGCTCCCTGCAGAAGCCATGTTCTGTGGAAAGTGGCAATTCAGGACGTCGTCCCCCCCATTCCCAGGAGACCAGGGGCGAGGGGAGGGGGTCCAGCCTGTGCTCGCCCCCGGCCCTGACCCCCAGTTGCTCTCCTGCACTCATCAGTGATGCTGGAGCCCAGCAGCCCTTCCTGGCCCCGATAACGTTGAGGCCAATTCCTTGTCCACTCTGTTCCCAGGCAAAACGGGATCTGGCTGGGCCCCTGCAAGAGGGGGATCCCTGGGAAAAAGGGGGGCGATTCCACAGACCTTCCCCAATGGGGCCCTCCTCGCACCCAAGGGCCTTCCCTGAGCGCCCAGGACCTCCCTAAATCCCACAGACCTTCTCCAGTTCCCAGGATCATTCCCCAACCTTCCCTGAGCCCCCTAGACCTCCCCTGGGGTCTGAGGCAAGAGGGGCTGGGGGCTCCCCTCCCCCAGGAGCATCCTGCAACCCAGCCCCATCGCCCCCCCCCTGCCAGCACTGAGGCTGATAAGCCAAAAAAAAAAAAGCCTTTCTCCTCCCAAATTAACGAAATCCCTTTGGGATGGGAGCTGAAACACCATTTGCGGGGCACAGCAGAGGAGCTGTCACCCCACGGTGTGCCCTCGCCCCCTTCCCACCACCCATCCTCCCATGGCAGGAGCCAAGGCGGCCGGCCCGGTGCACGGAATCCTTTATTTTCTTAAAAGAGGGAGCGCAGGGTGGGACCGAGGGCTGGGCAGGTGGCAGGGGGTGCGATGCCCCGGGGGGAACGGGGGACGGCTGGGGT